TTCTGCCTGAGCGGCATTGCTTTACTTGGAAAAGAACTTGGGAAACCGCATGCTTACAAGTATTGTTGAAAACAACAGAGATCTCGGTGGAGAACAATTAAGAGGAGGCTGGTAGCGCTATGCTCTAAGTAAAATGTCAGCCTGAAGTTTAAGAAAGGCAAGAAAAGGGACAGCCAAGAAACACCCTCTGAGATCATAGTCAGATCCTGGATTCCAAAAGACTGTGCAGTGACCCAGAAGCAGTCAGAGCAAGATGTGGGGTGCGTGGGTGGACCTCAAAGCCTTCCATGATCCACACAGACCCATCAGCACAAGGTAGACATTTCAGTGGCATAGGGGCATAAACACAACTCTGAACAAACACCGGACGGTAGGCTACCCCGGCCCAGGAGAGACTCCTAAAAAGTGAGGTTTAGAAATCAAATCATGTTCATCCCTGGCAGTCTTGAAGGTGACGTGCATCCCCAAGGCTGCAGACTCTCGAGAGCAACCAGGGAAGAAACCTCCAAGTTCCTAGTTTCTTGTTCTGCAGGAATAAGCCCCTGACTGTGCTAGCCACGTACAAATCCAGTGGTGAAGGGCAGAAATGCAACAGCCTATGAGATTCAGCACATTCTCTGGTCCACACATGGCGCATGCTGGCCAGATCTGAAAGCCATGGAGTCGGGCTGAAGAAGAAATCAGGAACAAATTCTGAGCACGAAGACTAGAGGCAGAGCACTGCAGGGGAAGTCAGCTCTGAAAGATGAGTCCAGCCAAGTCACCAAGCGAACACGTAGAACAACAACCCAAGGAGTGAGACGTTCGTATCCAGAGTTGCTATAAGACGTTACCTAAATGCAGTTTTCAACCATACATGCAAAGAAATAATAAGATGTGGCATACATATATGAAAAATAGACATACATATTTGAAACAGCCATGGTAAGAAACCACTTCACACCCACTTGGATGACTCCAATGAGCAAACTGGAAAACAAGAGTTGTTAAGCACGTGGAGAACTCAGAACGCTTGTGCATTGTGAGTGGGAATGTAAGGAGGTGTCGCTACTGTGAAAAGTGTGGTGGTCTCTCAGCAAGTTTAACAGAGAATCACCATGTAACTCAGTCATTCCACTTCTATGTCTATACCCCCCAAATGGAAACACAGATCCGAGCAGATATGTGTACCTGAGTGCTCATAACAGCGCTATTCACAAGAGACAAAAGGTGGAAACAGCCCAGAAGTCTACGAGTGCATGACGTGCAGTATGCCCATGCAATGAAATATTCAGTCACTGGACAGAAACGACACATTCATTCATGCAACAATGTGGATGAACCTTGAAACATTATACTGAGTAAAAAAGTCAGTTGCGTGGCATGTTATATTACCCCATTTATGTGAAATACCCAGGACAGTTGAATTCTTATATGCAGGAAACAGATTAGCAATTGTCATGGGAAATGACGCCTTAATGGGCACAGGGACTCTTCTGGGTGATGAAAATGCTTTGGAACTAAATTGAGGTGGTGCTTTGACAACATTGCAAATATATTAAGTGCCACTGAATTTTACTCTTTTAAATGGTTAATTTTATATTATGTAAACTTCACCTCAATAAATAAAGCAATTAAGTACTCATACATGCTGCTGCATGAATAAGCCTTGAAAACACTATGCTAAGGGAAATAATTCTGTCACCACAAAAAACTGTAAAATTCCATTTTTATGAAATTTCCATAATAGGCAAATTTCTGTAGATAACAAAAAGACTAATAGTTGCCTAGGGTCACAGGCAGAGGAGAGGCATGTGGGAATTGGGAGTGATTGCTAATGTGTACAAGGTTTTTTTTTTTTTTTTTTTTGGAGGTGAATCAAAATATTCTAAAATTGAATCGTGGTGAGAGTTTGACAAGGTTGTGAATATACTGAAAATCCTGAACTGTATACTTTAAATGAGTGAGTTGTATGATATGTAAATTATAACTCAATAAAGCTACTTAAAAAAGGATCAGTGATATATTAGGCTGTACTTGTCAAAAGCCATGAATTTAACATAAATTGAGACGGAAGACATATGAAGCTGAATGGGAAAGGGAAGCAGGAAATACTTGGAAAAGAGGTTTCTCTCTTCTCATTTACACTGAATATTTCTTGTGATAGTACTTACCACCACTTGATGCTTTGTATCCTCACTGTATATTTTCAGTCTTTCCCAACTAGAGCATAAGCTCTATGTGTCGCTGCATCTTCAACTCTAAGAACTGTGACCTGTTTTATAAATGTAGTAACCGGCTAGGGACCACCATAACAAAATCCCCACAGACTGGGTGGCTTGAAAAATAGGGACTGATTTTTCTCACAGCTCTGGGATCTGGAAAGTCCATAATCAGGGCATGGGCAGGGCAGGGTTCCTCTACGGCCCCTTTCCTTGGAAAGATGTTCTTTCCAAGGTCATTTTTGTACCTGTGTCCAAATTTCCTCTTCTTGTCAACTGAATCAGGGCCCACCCAACGGTCTGATTTCAATTTAATCATATTTGTAAAGGTCTTAACTGCAAATACAGTCCCATTCCAAGGTACTGGGGATTAAGACTTCAGCATATGAGTTGGGAGGGCGACAAAATTCTGTCCATAGCAGGAAGTCTATTAATATTTGCTGGGTGAACAGGTAAATACTGTGCAAAAATGAAGATGAGTCTGTATTTACATGGTAACAAAACTATGCACATACAAACAATCACAGATATTTGTAAGTGTAAGCAAAACAGCTCAGATTGCTAATGACAGGGGTGACATCGTGGATGAATAGGGATGATGCTCTTTTACTTTTTTCTGTTTTCCAAAATTCATACAACATGATAAACTTTACTTTGACACAAAGTAATCCATGCACAGCAAAGGAAATTTGGGAAACAAGAAATAATTGAAATGACGATTTAAATCAATAATTCTGCCTCCTTTGTTCACCTTACCACACTAAAAATACAGCCACCGTTAGCACGTTGGCTCGTACTATTCTACTTTTCCATGCACCTGTATTTATCTATGTTCTATCTAATTTTATGAAATTGAAGGGCTGTAGTATTCGCTGTTTTATAGCATGCTACAATGTTAGCTCAACTGTATGCTTTTTTCTCATGATTTTTCTAAGCATGACTATTTGATGTATGAATAATTTGAATATGCACCACTGGTTTTATGTAACCTCCTAATATTGAATCCGTGGTTTTCCGATTCTTGGCTGTTACAATGTCTCCGTATACATTCTTATAAAAAATATTTATACGCATCTCTGGTTATTCTCTTGGAATAATCATTTGCAAAGATGACATTTCTAATCCAAAATGCATGTTGATTTTTAAGTTTCCCATCACTCCTTGCCCAACAATAAGCGTACTTAAATTTACACTTTTTTTTGTTAGCCTTATACAGAGGAAGCAATAAGCCACAACCCAAAACAAACAGATTTTTAAAAGAAAGCAAAGAATATTCGTGTTTTAAAGCATTCATCGACCTCATGTTATCAAGAATTAATGCACTGGAATACAAAATAGCAAAATATTCACTAGGCATCTACAGACCACCTCTGTTTCTTGTTGGTTAGTTTCATCTCCGGAGCTCTAAAGAAATGTTTAACAACTAGCTCCAGGTACATATCCTCATCATTATGGGGATAGCATTCCATTTTCTCCCTTTAAAGGCCACTTTAACTAAATAGAGACTAATAGACTAATTTATTCTAATTTAGGGCCCCTAGCAGATGAACTAATCTTTAAAGATGAAAAAAATGAGACCCAGAGAAAGGAAGGTGCTTATCCAATGGTACTAAAACCAGTCAGAGATCTCATGGGTTCTAACATCCTGTCCAGTGTTCCTAGACTATATCTACCGCTTGCAAGTGAAATTTAAATGGCCTAATGCATATGAACCTCTAGTGCAATATTCACGCAAAAGGTAGACCAAGATTGTTTCATTTTTGTGGAAGAGGCTGCATAGCACAGTGGTAGAGAGGATGAGTCCCAGAGTCGCACTCCTGGAGTCTGCAGCCTACTCACATCACTAGCTACGTCATCTTGGGCCACAAGTTGCTTTCCTTCTGTAGCCCCAGTTTTTCCATAGGCTACCTGAGAGTGTTGAATGATATCATGCACGTCAAGCAACTTGGAAAAGTGCCTTTCACCTTACCTCCCAATGGTACTAATTCACAACGATCCAGTAAAGCATGAGAGGATAAATGCTGTTATACTCCTGTTACAACAAAGATTGAGAGAAAGTTTTGCTAACTACTCAAGACCCCAGGCTTTAATCTGGGTTTAGCATGACTCTGTCCATTAAAACTAAATGAAAAGTTTGAGGTACACCATGTCTACAGGGACTGGAGAAGTCACATGTCCGGAATGGGAAGCTGTTCCAGCTAGTGCGAAAGAATAACCTGGACTGGAAGTATGCAGGCAAAGATATAGTCAAAAAGGGGTATTGGGGCGTGAGACCGGATTCCAGGCCACTCTGTGTAACCTCGGGACAAATGACTTAACCTCCCCAGGCATCGGTTATCTGATCTGTAAAATAAAAGCTCAACAAATAAAAGCAATAAGCACCAAAAAAAGTACCTGTCTAATGGCGAAATAGAAAAAATAGACTGTGGGATTGTTCATTTTTCTGTTCATCATACACCATGTACTTTCTGTGCGACGTGAAAGTGATGACTCGGTAAACTGTGTTGTGGTCTATCAGCAGAGATGATTTCAGATAAATACAATCCATGCAGGGCTCAAGATGCCAGCCAGTGACACCTGCAGGAGCTGATCAGTTTAAATACACCTGTAATAGTTTTTGCTCTAACTTATGAGAACTCTGTAAGTGAGCAGTTATGGTAACACTGTGGGTTTTGACAGAATGTACAGCTTTGCAGGGGATAGGGAGATATTATTAATCTCCCGTAGGGTATTTTTTGCTTTGTAGGAGTGAAAAAACAAGATTTAGCGTAATACATTAAAAGATGCTTCCTTCCTTAGACTTGTCCAGAAACACAAGTACTCCAGATGGTTCTCTGATTATCTATGGCTACTGTCAAAGAGATGAGGATTTTGTTGAGTGTGGGCCCCAGGAAGAGACGACGGACGTCCAGTGTGAAATTTCAGCAATGCTCCTGCCTTTTTTTTCCTCTTAAGCTGCATCTTAAAACACTAGGATTACAAAGGGAATTAAAACCCTGTAAGGCTGCATGATAGATAGTATTGCATTCTGGTTAAGAAGACTATAGCAATTTGTATACCTAACCCCGAGTTGTAATCCACATCTTTAAAAGTAAAAGTTTTTTTTTAAAGAACCCGTAGCAGCTAGTTTGAATTCCAAGCCTGTCACTAACTTCCCATGTGATCTTTAGTATTTTGTTTAACCTCTCTTTGTCTCAAGTTGTTATCTAGCAAAATTACAAACAATTAGAGATAATAATATCATTCATGGATTGTTCTTACAAATTAGAGTAATAGACTCTCTCAATTGTTATAGATAATTAAATAAGTATACACACATTCATATAATGTTCCCATACCACCCTCCATACAAACACTTAGGAAAGTGCCTGACCTATAATAACCACATAATCATTTCATATTATTATAGTGTTTCTGGAAAAATGAAATGACTGATGAACATTGTTGATTGATTAACATGTCATTTCATAGAATATCAGAAATCTCTTCTACATGACTATTTTAGGTTTCTGTGAGAAATCTAATAGATATATTTCGTCTAAGAAAGAATATTGGAAATTGATCTCAAGATTATTTAGAAGTACTAGGATATTAGATTAGAAAGTGAGCTTAGATGTTATTCAGTTTAATCATCAGGTTTTTCAAAGGAGAAAACTGAATCATTCTCTCTCTCTCTCTCTCTCTCTCTCTCTCTCTCTCTCTCTTTCCCAAAGTCACAGGACTCTTTGTGAAGAAATGTCAGGAAACCTCAGGGCTGTGTGATCTCCAACCAGGAGGTTTTCTTTTGCATCAATTAATTAATTCACTTAAATTATTTTCTACCACAAGGGTTTCCATCTTTTTAGATTTCTTAAACTAATAAAAGTTTATCATTGTCTTGATGCAAAATCATGATCACCAACTGTCTTTCATTTTGCCATCCAAAAAGAAACATAACCAAAACAAACATTTATAACATAATTTAAGGAATACTAGAAAAGTACAAAGGATATAAATCCAGAATAAAGAGTTGACTTTTTAAGTTTGATGTTTTTTTAATAGACCAAAAAGAAGTACAGAGTATGAAGTTTTTTAAAAAAATCAACAAATTGATCATCAAAATAAGAATATTATTTATTTATTTATTTATCTTGAATTGGAGTCTCAATACGCATCGTCCAGGCTGGAGTGCAGTGGCACACTCATGGCCACCCCAGCGTTGACCTGCTGAGAACCTTTTATTTTTAAAACACAATTTAGAAAATAAAAGGGAGGTGAAATAAGCCAGGCACAGAAAGAAAACAAGCCACGGACTAAGAGAAACTCTGACTGATAGATAACATACATTTAGAATATTTTTAAAACTCATGACTCAATTATGAAATGACAGATCACCTAAGAGAAAAATAGAAAAAAAAATTGAACAGACAATTGGTATATCACCAAAGAAGGTACACAGATGGCAAGGAAGTATCTGAAGAGATGCTCAGCATCATTAGTCATTAGAAAAAGGGAAATTCAAGCTACAGTCTATACTGTTGGAATAGGTTAAACTAAAAAAAAAAAAAAAAACTAGCACTATTCAAGTGTTGGCAAAACTGCAGGGCAACTGGAATTCTCATACATTGCTTGTGGGAGAGCAAAATGATCCAGTCACTTTGGGGAAAGGTTTAGAATGTTCTTACATACTTACAATATGAACAAGCAGATCGATTCTTGATCTTTATGCAAGCGAAGTAAAAACATAAATTCTCAAACAGACCTGCTTTTCAATGTGCACAGTAATTTTATTCATAATAGCCCCAAATTATAAAAGTCTTTCTCTCTATTTCTCTCTCTCTCTCTCTCTCTGTCTCTCTCTTTCTCTCTCTCTCTCTCTCTCTCTCTCTCTCTCTCTCTCTCTCTCTCTCTCTCTCGCATCTGATCTCAGAGATAGGGGTGGGGAATTCACATTTTGGAATATTACTCAGCAGTAAAAAGCAGCCACCTACTAATAGACCCAATAAAAAGTGTGACAATAAGTGAAAGCCAGTCACACATAAGTGTGTACAAACAACTGTTTGAGCAACATGATTTTGATGTGTTTCATGTGATTTTCTATGCTTCTTGTTTTGGGGGTTCTTTGAGTAGCTCAAGTCTGTGAGTTTATGGTCTTCATCAAATTGAGATTCTAAAACATCCCTTTTACTTATTAGGCTTGATATTTTGAGCAGTTTGGGGTTTATAGAAAAATGGGGCAGAAAGTCAGAGTTCCCGTGTACTTCCCCAATCACGCCTCAGCTTTTTTTTTCCATTGTTGACATCTTGCAACAGGATGGCATATCTGCAACAATTGATGAACCCATGCAGGTTTATTCTTATTAATTAAAGTCTATATTAGGATGCATTCTTCATGTTGTACATTGAATGGGTTTTGCCGTTTATCTACCACTAGAGTGTCATACAGAAGAGTTTCTTTGCCATAAAAATCCCTTGTGTTTCACCTGTTCATCTCTCCCTCACTCTGACTCATGCCCCAAACCTCTTGCAACCACTGATTTTTATGTCTCCAACGTTTTAAATTTGGAAAAGTTTCAGCCATTGTTACTTCAAATGTTGTTCTCTGTGCCCTGCCCTCTCCACTTCAGGAATTCAATGTATATAGGCAGTAGATCCCTTGAAGTTGTCTCATAGTTCCCTGAAGATTTGTTGATTATTTTCACTCTTTTCTGTCTCTGGATTTCATTCTGAATAAAGGCATATCTTTGTGTGTCCACATTCACTAACCTTTTCTTCTGTGATGTCTGACTTTCCATTAATCCTGTCCAGTGCATTGGGTCATCGCAGACATTGTATTTTTTTGCCTCCAGATTTAGTCTTTGATGCTGTCTTCCGTGACTCTACTTAACATGCTCAATTTCCTCTAGCTTCTTTAACACATGCCTATTAATTCTTTTATTTGTACCTTTTCTGGGTTGATTTCTTTCAGCTGAGTTTTCTTCTCATAACTCATATTTTTCTGCTTATTTGCATGCTCAGTAATTTTTAAATTAGAGGTCAAAAATTGTGAATATAACCTTGCCAGGTCCTGAATAACGTCACATTCTATAAATATTCTTGAACTTTGTTTTGGAAAGTAGGTGATTTGTTCTTGGGATTGTGCTAAATGAATTTCAGAGCTGGTTTCAGACTATGCTAACATTTTAAGTGACCTGTGGTGAAATAATAAAAATAAAAACAATATTACATATTTGTACTTAAGTATATATGTATAAATGTTGAGGTACATATGTGTGTGCAACACGCATATGAAGGTGGGTCACACTTTTGTATTCTGGCTTTTATATTTAGTATATTATTGACAAATTTGTGTCATTTTTCTAAAATAATGATTAAATGTTTTATAATAAGGTCTCCCTAACTACAAAACATCACTAGTCAATCTATTTTATATTGTAGGATATTCAGATTCTAAATGTCTCCAGTTAAATTTCCATCATTGTTATTGATGTTATATAATGCAGTTACCCTCTTTTCTGTGAACTCCATTGAATAGGACTTGTGTCTCTGAGAAACAAGAGAATCCTAGTTGACTTTCCACAAAGTTTATTTTGAGGATTAAAGTGGATGCAACATAAAAAAGAAAACACCAGTGCCAGGCATAGGTGTTGCCCAATTAATAGCACTTATTTTTTTAAATGGCACGAAATTGCAAAAGCAGCCTCAAACAAAGATACAAAGTCTAATCCGAATCCTGAATAAATCATTGAAGCCTTGCTTAGAAAATGGCGTCAGTTGGAGAAATAAGTGTTGGATGACGAAAGAAGGTTTGGAAGGTCCTTTTGTCTTACAGGATCACACCCGAGGGCTTTATGTTCACTAAGAATCATTCGGCTTTGCACACTGGCAACTTGCAAAAAGTTCGTTGGAAAGGGACGATCGAGTTGGGTCTGGGTCTTCTGATTGATCGTGTACCCTTGACGACAGCAGTTAGTATCCGAAGCCCTAACTGTTTTGTGGGGTAGAATATACTTCGCCCCATTAACAACGACGAGCACGTGACTCAAGGCCGCAATGTTCTGAGTCCTCAGGAATTCATTTTTGTGTGGGCATGTGACCCATCTGGAGGAAATTAGTTCAAATAAAACCTCTGTTTAAACTTTTGGGAGAGAAAGAATGAGAGTCGGGCAAGTATGTGTTTCTCCAGGGAAGTTGAATCTTTTTTTTTTTTTTTTTTTGAGTTGGAGTCTCACTCTGTCGCCCAGACTGGAGGGCAGTGGCGGCTCCCGGGCACTGCAGCCTCGACCTGCTGGGCTCCGGCCATCCTTCGGCCTCAGCCTTCCGAGTAGCTGGAATTACAGGCACGTGCTACCACGCTCTGCTGACTTTTTTTTATTTATTGTAGAAATGAGGTCTCACTGCCCAGGCGGGTCTCGAACCCGTGGACTCAGGCAATCCACTCATCTCAGCGGGAAGTTGAGTCTTGAAGAGTGTGTGCCTGCTGTTTGTTATAGCTTTTGGGTCCCACTTAAAGGATAAGAATGAAGTTATAGTAGTCATGGTTCGGTTGCAGACAATACAAACCACTACAATTAGTTTAAGCAGAAGGGAGTTTCCATAGAAGCCTATCAAGGGTGAGGTAGTTTAGAAAACTGCTAGAAATCTAGAGAAGTTGGTTCTAGCCTGTACTTCCAAGAAAAATTCCTCATCTTCAGCATCACATTGTCTCTGCTGTAGCTGTAAGAGCTTTCATTACCAGTTTGGGAAAGTGCTAAAGCAAGAAGCTGCTGACCACAGAATTAGGCTGCGTCTGCCATGATCAGAAAAACTGCTGCCTCCACTACAGAAAATGACTGATTCAGGGAGCGAAGGTTGACAGGCGACACTGCCTCAGCCATGATTCAAGCCCCCAAAAAATATGTTGGATGGCCAACATATTAACCCTATCCACTCCTCACCAGTTCCAATTCTAGTTCTCATGAAAATGTCATGTATTGGCACAACTTGAATCATATCTATTCTCAGCCACAGAAAGGCTGAAAGTATAGTTTGGAGTTTTACATATTCTGAAGTGTGGAAGGCATTCTAGAATAATGCATGCATGAATGCTGAACTTGTCAGTCTGTGTTTTCTTCCATGGTTTCACAGTGCAGATAGAACATGAAAAAAAGCCAGATTCTCAACTTCTGATAAGGGGATGTATTATGAGCCAGGACCTCCATGCATTTTTTAAGTCAATATATTCTGTGCCTCACTGGATTTAAGTCAATTTGAACTATGTTTTCTATTGCTTGACAAAATGCGAATTGATGCAAACCTCTAGGTTCCTTCTAACTCTAATGCTCTACAATTCATTTTACTTTGCTCAGTAGATTTACTCAATGGTTTACTGATTAATTCTAGTGTGAGGGAAATCCAGGGTTAAACAGGAAATACCAGATCGCAGATATGTACACCATGATGCTCTTCTTCCCTTTTTCCCTACCATTATCCCTCATCCTCGTCTTGGTGTATCATCCCTAAGGAGAGCAGAGTGTCCTAAGTCAACCATAGAATAGTCTGTTGGCAAATTCAGATAAGGTTGAAGAATGTTTAGTGCCCTGAATAGAGAACCCTATGCCCATATAACAGGCGGAAGTCCAATGGGATGAGTCAGAGGATGTTGACCTACGGGGTGGTTGGGTGTTTAAGGAACTCCTCCTCCATGAGCAAAAGGATGGAGATGAGACTTTTTGAGTAGAGGTCAGTGCCCAGTGGGAGGGTTGTTTTAGGTAGAAGTGGAACACCTCCCTTCTTTCTCTGAGAAATAAATAAAGAAGGTGGACACATGATGGTCACTTTCCCATGCCCCATTCTTTAGATATATCCAAATACTATATAATCAGCAATTTTCTTAAGTTCTGGTAATACAAATATAAGTAATACAGAGTCGTTGTCAAAGTACTACAAGAAACTGGTTCCTTCAATTCAGGAGGGAACTACGTGGTTTTGGAAGGCACATTGAGGGCAAAATCTTCAAATTCCACGTTTTCATTGTGGATGGATCTTATTTCAGGGAGTAGAAACTTATGCTTTTGGTTAGATTTGCTCTTTTAAATACTCTCCAAACACACTATCTTTCCTCTTGGTAGCATTTGTTACAGTTGTGCATAATGATTTGTATAATTACTTGGTGAATGCCCAGGTCCCACGATAAACAACCAGTTGCACAGGACCAAAGATGACATGTAACCTGTTAACTTCTGAATCCCCAGAACTAGCACAGAGCCTGGCAAATAGAAAATCATATCATAGGTATTTTTTTTTAATATAAGTGAATGAAACTATTGCTCCGATTTCAAAATCAAGGCAAAAGTTGAAAACAAGTACCTTTCAAACATCCTCTAAATTCTCCATTTCTACCTTCTAAGCATCTTCCACAAATTCTCAGTTTTAAATGAAACAAAATAGCAACTTTCTTTTTGAATAGCGAGAAGCTAAAAGATGGAAAAGTATCTGGGAACCACTAAGCTTGCTCTCATGCCTGTGGTTTATAACTATAATTTATGCATTTGCTATGCATCTGTTGCCAGGATATTGGGTTTAAATATATGATCTAATTTAACCATTATTACTGCATTTTAAGATAGGTATCACTGTTTTACCTATGAGAAAACTAAGGTCCAAAGAGTTTAAATAACTTGATGAAAATTGGCAGAGTGAAGATATGAGACCAGGTCCTTTTAATTCCAAAGCTGGAGTCAGTCCCAGGTTTGCTGGGCATGTTATTTCCCCAAATGAATTAAGTTCGAGATTCTTTTCCCACTGATTTAACTACAGTGAGGCTGGGTAAGTTCTATTTCATTTCTGGCCCCAACAGTTTTTCAAATGTGATTTCTAGCAGTACAATAATTGTCCCCAAATTCCATTACAACCAAGCAGTTTGGACAAACCAAGAACTTTATTCCAATGGGATTTCATGCGACTTTGCTGGCCATTCAACTCTCCCTGGGAGACAAGGTAGATGGTGCACACACTTGTTATGGGTCCCATACCTCCAGTTATGGAAGAGGTGTTTTATTTTACATATAAATCATTAAAAGCTCCTGTGTAAAGTCAGAGCAAACACTCTCAGGCTTGTTTTGTTTTCAGTGAAGAATGGTGGCTTGCACTTGTGAAGTTATGATCTCTATGAGGAACCCATCCCTTCATTATACAGCACAGTAAGAGCCGAACATTTTTATTTTTAATTTTCCAAAGGCAACGACAGTCTAGACAACTCAGATAAAATATGCCTTTGAATTACTAGGTAGTTCCACAGGAGGTCGAGATGTATTATGTTTTGATGCAGACGTGTTCTTTAAAAGCAAGATGCAACAGTCCTGCTTTTTCAGTGCCTGGTGAGAAGACAGAATAGAATTGTAACTTTTTAGGACATTATAATTAAAAGTGAATGCCATAGTCAAAGAACTTTATTTTTCTAACGTAAGCTTTGCTCTGCTTTCTAACTTCTGAGGCTCGTGGGGTCAAATTCCCAGAGCTCTGTCAATAATGTGGCTCACTAGCAAATTGATGCTTTTTCTCAGCTGTAACAGAGCGAGTTAGCATAACATTTATACAGTTCCCAAGGCCTCAGACGGCGTCTAAGGGTTTAGATTAGTGTTTTGAAGACTGCAGTTATTTCAAGTTTGTAAGAAGGTAGAGGACACTTGGGGAGAACCGTCTGAAGTCTGAGTAAGATTCCACACAATTATCTCATCCAGGTGTACAGCTGCAAACAGCATTCCTCCTCAGAGAAGCCACCGCGATTTGGATTGAAGAACAGTTATCATTTCATCTAATTTGGTCTCAGGTTTGTGGTCTTATGTGGACTAGTCTACACATGGAGAAAGGCCATCCATGACATCCATCAGCAAGGGTTCTATTTTAAAACTTAGTGTTGTGGTCAAGGTATCTTGACATATGGACGCTGTGTGTCCTGCATGAAATCCAGTGACACATATTCTGCTGGGTATGCCAGAACCAGCTAATTTTGTGCACCCTGGAAGGCAAGTCAGCTATCAGACCAATCTCTCTTTCTCTTACCGAACCTCCTTTGGCGCTCTGGTGTTTTCCTCCAAGTGTGTTTTTTGGTTTTGTTCGGTGCCCTATCTGTCTAGCCAATGGATTTCCCCAAATTGGAATTTCAGAGAACAGAGGTTGAGGAGCGTCTAAACTTTGCCTTTTGGGTGCTCTTCTTAGACTCTCAAAGGGCACCGTTGTGCCCACCCTCCAATATAAGGGTGTCTACTCTCCTTACATAGGCATAACTAAGAAAGGACTCTTCAGTGATCCTTAGCAGAAACAAGAAAGATGATTTTCTCCTTTCACCAAACCAACCACATCCATGCTGCAATTTAGCAGGTGCTGTTGCATCAATATGTCCAGTTGAGCTCATAGTCTTTATCCTCAAACCTGCTCCTTTTACTGTTCTCCTCATCTTGGACCAAGTCTATATCTGCTGCTCCAACCTCCAATGCGGGAGACCTTCTAGACTTGTCTTATTCATGCAACATCAACATCCAACTCTATTCATCATCTTGAGTTCAACCATTTCTTTCTACGGTCGATGACTTAGCCATTAATTCTTTAAGGAATTGTGAAATACCTGGCCTTTCTGCCTCCCTTCTCCATCATTCCCACTGCTCCTGAAGTGACTCTTTTCAAAACAAAAAATGATCATGATATTCGCATGATCAATGTTGATTAGTAACTCTCACAACTCTCAAAATGAGGAGTGCACGCATGGCTTCTAAGGTTTCCGTGTTCCATGACCTGAACCGCGCCCAGCTTTATAATCTCAACTCTAGCTATTTCCTCATAGGATCTTTCACCCTTCCAAAACATACATGGTTTACCAATTACAACACATTATTCTGTTCTCTTGTGTCTTCACATGTGCTAGTTTTTATGCCAGCAATATCCATTTTCTCTTTTCAACTGAACCAACTTCTCTCTCCAGACTCAATTCAAATAATTCTAAGTTTGGGAACAATTCTCAACCCTTCTGATTCTGATGCCCTTCTTTAAGCTACAGAACTTTTTATTACATCATAATGTGACTGCTGACCTATTTGTCCATTTTCCTCTTGGGGCTATAATCTCTTTAAAGCAAATGCCATGCCTTATTTCTCTTCACAGCCACATCAGAGCTACTCTCGGTTGCCTTATAGGTATTTCATAGTATTAAAGAATGAACACCAAGTATAAAGAGTCTAGTACAGCATCAAGCATGTAATCAGAGCTTTAAAAAATGTTATCTCGATGTACCCCTCTCCTTTTTTACCTCCTAACTTCATTTTATTAAGCTTATATTTAATCCTCACCTACACCATAACAACCATTCAGCTAAAGAAAAGAAAAGTGAATATTGTGTAGTTACCCATATTTGTTGCTCTGAATTATCTGGTCTGACTCTTTCATCAAAGGTACCTAGATATTTGCCAATGACCTCTCTTGCACCATTTCAGCACAGCCTCTGCCAGTAATTTCCCACTAAGAGAGTAAATTGAGGCATGAAATGTGGTTCTAGACCACTCATAGATAATCATAACTGTTAACAAAAGCAAGGTCAAACACAATTTAAGAAAGTCTTCACTTGAAAAATGGAACAGTGAATTTAGAAAGCAGCACTCCTGGTCATCATCAACTACAATAAATTAAACCAGGCTTTGATGGAGTCTTATTAATTCAGTACCTTCCCCCTTCCACTTATAGTAATTCTTGTGTGTGTAATACTGGAATAAGATGATATTTGAGAGTTACTTTTATATCATTTAGAGAATTATCCTCAAGTCAAAACCAGTATGTGGACAAGATCCTGATTAAGTCTTGTTTTCCCTGTCTCTGATTTTTTTCAGTTACAAGTAAAAAAATCACCTATGACTTTTAAATTTTTATATTCCATTATACAGTACATTGTCACATTTTGTTATTGCTATTATAGTATTATTATTACTGCCATCTGGATCTAATTTTGGGGTGTATAAAAATAAAAGATTAAGCTCACCTATAAAACAAAGATACTGTGCTGTTGAAGCTAAGGGTTCACTTTAAAAATCTCTAGGGCTCAGCATAGAGATTTGGCACAGAGATGAGCTTTATCAGCTTCCTCTTGCTCTTCTCCTAGCATGTTCCTAACAGAAGCTTTGGAAATGTTTTGGAAGCAGAAAGCCCAAGTCCTGATTTTAAAGGCTATCTAGTTCCAGAAATAAGACTTAGCATTCAAAGTACTGGGAAAAGGTAAGAGTAAGGGTGAGTTTTTTGTGGTATTTAAATGAAAATATGATCAGTTACCCAGAAATGTTGGGGTCCCCATCAACCATTCCAACCTCTGGTCCTCAAGGTTATTTTGGGGGTCTTTACCCAAGAAACACTGACAAATGAGAAAATCCATACTACCCTCTGCTAATAGCTGGACCCTTATCTGGTGGTCAAAACATGAGTTCTGGTAAAACTGCTTTAGAGTGTGTGACTTAGGCTTGAACAATACATAAGGCCTCTGATTATCCCACACTCCAAGCCATATTCGAAGATTAGAACCTTATCGCATTTTAGCCAGACACTGATACAGAAGCCTGGTCAACACTTTCAGAAAGAAAGTGGAGGAGAGGACTAGGTAGAGATATGTGACAGCTTCACCCACAGTGATCTTACCCCTAACAAATGTGATCTCGCCAGCTTCCTGCAAGCTGGCCTTTTGCAATTTTCATATGAGAGAAGAGTTGGAGTCAGAGGAGAGGCAGACCTTGTAGAGAAAACATTCTCTACTCTTATCATCAGCAATAAAAAATAAGATTGTGTAAAGCACCAGTCTCTAATTCTTTCCAAATCACATTCCAATGGAATATTGGGAATATGAGAAAAGGATAAAGACATCTTAAGAGTCCTACTGGCACACACAGTGTCACTTAACCCTTGTCTTCCCTCCTCTAAACCACATTCTACCTTCTCATGAAGGCACACATCCGATGTGTTATAAAGGTGGGAGACAGAAACTTGATTCTCTATTTCTGAATTGCTGATGATAAAAGAGGGAGGAACATGGAACAACACAAAGAGTATAGGTTTTAGAGTCTTACCGACCCAGATTCAAACCTTATCACTCACTAGGTCCAACAGCAAACCTTTTACAAATGGAACTTCAGTTTCTTATTCCATAAAACAGAGATAAAAATTTCCATGTCTGAAGGATTTCTGAGGATTAAGAGAAATTATGCATGGCATTTCATAGTCAATCAATAAATGTTAATCCTCCTCCCTTTTTCTCTCTATTTCTCCAGTTTTCATAATCTTAATATTCAACTAAAGCTACTATTCTTTAGCATTTTCTCACCTCTATAGAAGACCTTCTTTTTATGAAAAAAAATTGGTCTTTGAGAGAGAATACTAGCAGAAGGATCATTTAACTCAAACTCTAATCTTCATTTTGTAACATAAGCAGCTAAGATCTGGATAGAGTATGCATAAGAGAAAGTTCTCAGGACATCACATGTGTTCACTGTGTCTGCCTGAGGGCCTCTCTATTACTAGGATACTTTGGGCACTTGGTAAAATCCCTATTTCCTCCTGAACAGACATTGATGATGTCACATTTTAGAAATAAATAAGAAAGGCAACATCCCCACAGTTCTTATTTTCATAGTGATGCTTTAAGAATAAATAAAATTGGTTTTTGATTAACAGATGTACATTAAATTGTATTTACTGCATCTAAAAGTGGGCTTATAGTACAGACAGGAGTTTCACAGGTGCAAGTAAGAACTTCACCGTGAAGAAGAAATAAAGTGAGTGAACTTACGTGGAAAATTCAAAAGTATTTAGAATAGTTGAGAAACAACACAAGTCCAATTCTCTGAAGATCACTAGCAGAGCCACTCTATTGAGTGTTTGTTATGTATTTGGCACTGTATTATTCTCCTATATATTAGCTAATTTAATCCTAACGAACTCCATGAAAGGTGTTATCTTTTCTGCCCCACCTCTGGAGTCTTGGATAGATTAAATAACTTGCCCAAGGTTACCCTAGCTTTTCAGGCAATAAGTCAGTTCTAGGTCTAGCTAGTAAGAATAGTTTAAGGCAAATTAAAGGTGATCCTTGGATTTCATTATTGAAACTCTCTATTCAAATATAGGTAGTGCGTTTTTTAAGAATAAGTTTTGAATCTTAGTTATCCAAAAATACTGGGACATAGAAGAAATCCTATGGTTGTGTAAAGTTACTTTAGGTAGGTCATGGAACACAATTTGGGATAGGGGTATGCTCATCCATGTATTAGCATCCTCTATTTCCTTCCTAGGCAGACACCCTGTTGTGTATAATTTCATATCTCCCTCTACCATCTGTCACAGCCTTCCACTTCTATAAGATACTCTTCAAACTCTTATTCCAGAACTTTAATTAACCCACTATGTATTAAAATCATGGATACTTCTGAAATACAGTGCATTCTTTATTTATATAGATCCACAGCTCAATGCATAACACTGTAGATGCACATGGAATATGTGTTATAAAAATCAATGAATAATCTTAAGAACAAGTTTGCCATGTAAATATGTTTACATACAAATAGAGTAGAGGAAGGGGAGCAAAGGAGTGAGTAGGGATGAAGATATCATTAGACGGAGACACCCCAAACACTTTTGGATGTGTGAAGCACACTGCACCCAGAAAATACATCCCTGAACACATAGAGACCAGAAAAAGATGATAGATGTGGGAATCCAGGTGCCTCATCACCTGCTGTGCACAAGGCTCACACAAGTACTGAAGGTTTGCCTGGTGAAGAAAACCAGGTACCTAAGAAGATTTGGGTCCATTCGCTCACTTCCTGGTATGTGTGAGTCATTGGTCCCATGCAGGAGGAGCCATGGTCAGGGCACAGCAGCAGGCAACTAGACCCCAAACACAGCAGTAAAAAAAACATGCTTGGTCAACAGCCAGGAGCGTGACTTCCACCAGCAGAGCAAGGCAGCAGGCTCCCAGGCAGGGGGACTCCACCTGCAGAGAGAACCTCACAAATGCCTGGCCCATCTTTCCAGCCACACCAGGAAGAATCACCTTTAAGTCCTGTGTGCCTACAGAGTGGATCCCCTCCTACTCCACCATGGCAAGGAAATCCCTCTTTTTCAATATTGAATGCAAACCTGAACAGGGAGGGAAAAACACAAAAGACACCTAAAGGCTTTCTCAGTGAGAAGGCTCTGGGCTACAAACTGCAGACAGCAGACGAGGAGGTCCATTCCCCCACCCACTCGATGCAGAGTGGTAGCAGCAGGGCTGATGCAATTGAGAAACCTACCACAGAGTGGAGCAAGGAGCAGAAGTAAATGTCCCATCACAGCAGGTCACTGAGTGACTTCTACTGAACCACAGAAAGGGCCCTAGAACAGAGGGTCAGTGACTAACTTTCCAGCAACAAAACCAAAAGGAATTACAGAGAGGAAAGAGAGGCCAGTCATACATGAGGAAAAATCAACTAAAAAATATAGGCAACCCTCAGAGTCCTAAAGAGACAATGTCCAAAAAAGCAGTTATCAGAGCACAAACTGGAAACCCCCTTGAACAACCTGCCCCAGATGACAGTCACAGAAATCAGAGCTTGGATGCCTAAAATGAACAGAGAGAACCAAGAGAAACTAGAAGCAGAACTCACCAAAGTTGTACAGGAAGTAAGAGTGGAGCTGGCCAATTTCAGAAAAGCCCATTCTGAAATAATGAAAATGAAGAACTCCATCCTGGAAATCAAAAACAAAGTAATAAGCACAGGAAGCAAGCTGAGGAAAGAATCTCAGAGTTTGAAGACCAAAATATGGAATTACCCAGTCCATAAAAAACTTAGGAAACACACTCAAAAAGAAGGAGCAAAGCCTCCAAGATGTGGGACTATGTCAAGAAGCCAAATCTATGCCTGATGGGTATCCTGGAAGTAGAAAGGGAAGCTGAGAACACCATGGAAGAAACATTCCATGAGATCATCCAAGAAAACTTCCCATATCTCTCTAGAGAGGTGTCCATTCAAGCACAAGAGATTCAGAGAGCCCCCATAAGGTATCACATCAGAAGTCTATTCCCAATACACACAATAATCTGCCTCCCTAAGGTAAGCATGAAAGAAAACATCCTAAAGGCAGCAACAAAAAAATGTCAGACTACCCACAAGGGAAGACCCATCAAAATTGCTCCAGACTTATCTGCAGAAACACTTCAAGCCAGGAGGGACTGGAGTCTGACCCTTAACATTCCTAAATATAGGCAATTCCAGCCAAGAATTGTCTACCCTACCAAGGTAACCTTCATCAGTGATAGAAAATTAAAATCCTTTCCAAACATCCAGTCCTTGAGAGAATGCATCACCTTCAGACCAGTCCTTCAGGAGATGCTTAAAAATCTGTTGAGCACAGAAGGGAAAGGAAAAAAAAAAGAACAGCCATACCCGTCACAAAAATACAGGCAAGCACAGAGTCAACAGAGCATACTGAGTACTCATAAAAATGAAAATGCATGCATATATAAATGCAAAAGTAAAAAGGAAACAAAGCAACCCCCTAAAAGCCTTGTGCCAGGGATCAACGCTCACATTTAAGTAATTAATTTGAACATAAATGCACTGAATGTGCCACTAAAGAGGCATAGAGTGGCAAACTGAATAAAGAAACATGATCCAAGCCGGGCTCGGTGACTCAGCCTGTAAATCCCGCAACTTTGGGAGGCTGAGGTGAGTGGATTGCCTTAGCCCGCAGGTTCGAGACCTGCCTGGGCAGCGAGACA